TAATTTTTACAAGAAAAAATATTTGTACCTGGTAAAAGTGCTGTCATGAACTGAATAATACTTTAAAACTTATAGTAAATTCTAATTTGAATTGAGACAGACCTCAAATTTGAGCATATTGCAAAAACTGTAGATTCATTATTCCATAGATGTTTTAGGAAGAAGTGAAAAACCACAGAAGAAACCAAATTTATTTGTATAGAATTAATAAGGCCTTGGGTAGTCAAAGCATAGAGGTAAAGATGAAGGAAAGAATGCTAAATTATTTAAAATTCACTTCTTTTCTTTAGAGAAACAACTATTTTAAGTTAAAAGAATTTCACCCTTAGCCATTCATGAAACAATCTTAAATATTTAAATTTTAATGCTAGTCTATAATTCATAAGTAAATGTTAAAGTTATTCATAAAAGTCTACCTATAATAGATACTTCTATAGATGATATATAAAAGAGGCAATAGGGACACTTGTAATTTAAAATAAGTATCTCTGGAAATATATGAACTAAAGCTCTTATTTTGAGCACACAGCATTTTGCTGGCACGAAGTAGAGACTCACTACAGGATAATAACTAATAGGGCTTATACAAAGAAGGTGAAAAACCAATTTTAATTAGTAGGGGAAAGACTAAAAGATCTACTCTTTATGTCAACCACATTTGATGCCAAACACACAATAAGTGCATAAGGTAAGAGCTCTCTGCTTATTTTGTATTTACTTATCTAAGTAGTTCTTAGCATTAAAAAGATGAAAATTGATACAGACATTTTAGGAATGCAATAATAGTAGGTAATGTTAGAAATGGGAATGTTTACAGGAGTGAAGGGGCCTTCAAAATATTTAGATTAACAACTATTATGCTGACAGAATACAGGAAATTAGTTAGAGGCAGAGGCACGATTTTAAAAAGTAAAAGATAACACATTTGGTAAGTTTCTTCAAAAAGCTCAAAATAAAGAGGAAAGTATCAAACTATACAGTATATAAGAATTAGACAAACTCTCAAGTACAGCATACGTTATTGTGACAATAGATAATATATACTTAACAAAGATCTGGAGGTTGGAAAAAAACAGGACAAAATAAATTAGTTATAGTATTTCTTAAATAAAAACACTTACAACTTTCATAATTGATTTTTCCCATGCTATTGATTTCTGTAACTGCTGAATGCACAGAGCTACCTGTGCAGCACTGCGAGCTTCTGATAATGCCCTTCTCCATACCCTGAGCCCTGGAGCAATATCCTCTTCAATTCTGCATTGAAATATAGAAAAATTAAGTAGGTCATGTCCACATTTATGGTTACTGAATGTGAAACAATCATCACACTGAAAGCCAAGCAATGACAAAAACATGTAACAGCCAATAAATATAAGGTTTAAGCAACTAAATTTGATGTAGTGCACAGACTGTGGCTACGTGCCTCAAAGCTTAGTCACAACCAAGTAAATGTAAGATCACTTTGCAGGATTATCAACGCACATAACAAAAAAAAAAAATGTTTTTACAAAGCACCATGCAAATAGCATGATCCGTATGGATCACAGACATACAAGAAGATACATAGATAACAGGCAATAGAAAATAGGCTCCAATTAGCAAAGAAGCACAATAATTTTTCAAGTTAATCTCAATAACCTACCCGTCACCATCACCACTAATGGATGGTGCAGGAGCAGGGACAGTAACTGTGCCCACATTATCCAGTTTGATCTGAATGGTGGTACTTAAGGGGCTCTTCAGATACCTTCTTTCAATGTTCCGCTCCAAATCAGCCAGCCTGGTTACAGCTATATCTAGGGGGTTGTCACTCTTCCGTTCTAGTGCATGTGCACTGCTTTCTTCTTCGCCAGTAAATTCTCCATCATGTTCCTTGCACAATTTAGTAAATGACTTATGTTCAAAATATACCAAGTCCTCCCTTTCTGATGCAGGCTCTGGACACATCCAACCCTATATATCAAGAGAATAGTGTTATTATGGTTTCCTCTTAAAATGCCAGATGGGTGAACTGCCCTTACTTAAAATACAGCAGTGGACACTGGCAGATCTCAAGGATCCTTACTAAAAGTTTTTACCTTGTTTTTCCTAATGCTAGGTAGAAATAAGAACAAAAAGATTAAAAGAATAGTTGTAAGAAAAGTTGGAAAAAGAAAATTTATCAACTTTTAATAAGTATTTTGAAGGATTTTAGACTAAAATGCTTATTAATTTCATGGGATCACTCATATGGAAATGTCTTGGTACCTCTAAACTTTGCTCTTCCTTTCTGTTTTCATTCCTTCTACTATTCTTCCGTACAGGTCCTTGTACTCACCAGTCTTCCTTTGACTGCAGGGGCTTTGTTTGCATAAGCTGTTACCTTTGTCTGTATAGCTTTTGTCTGCTCCACGTCACCTAGTTAACTTCACCCATCCTGAACCTCTTATGCTAAAATTCACCTTAAATTTAGGATCCCCTAAAGGGAATCCTTCCCTGATCCCCTCTAGGAATTAAATCTCTGTATCATGGGCTCTCATAGGACTATGTTCCATAGCCTTGTCATGGTTGCAAGTTACACTAGTGTGATTTTCTGATTTATATCTTTCTTCTTCTCAATTCTATGAGAGCAGGGACCATGTCTGCTTTTACTCATTTATCTCAGAACTGGGAAGGCAAATAATGGGTACTCGATACATATATATTGATTGAATAAATGAATGATCTTATAACTTAGTTTGCTTATATTGATCCTTTAGCTCAAAATCCTTCAAAGATTTCCACTGTTTAACAAAGTCTCAAATCTTTACCGTAGCATTCAAGTACCTCAGTCTACCTCTCAGTCTATCTCTTCTCGTGTTCCCACTCATATATTCTATGCAGCAAATTCTATGACTTGCACTTCACAAACATGTGATAAGCTACCAACCCCGGTGCTCTGTTCATGCTGTTCCCACTTGATAGTATGGTATTCCCTGGTCTTTGTCACAACCTTTCTTATCCTCTTAAGTTCCACCTCGACTTCCACGTGAATTTTCCCTGATCTCTTCCGTATTTCCACCAGAAGTCAGTATTCTTTTTCTCAATTCATGTATTACTCTGTACTTCTCTATGATCAGTTACTAGATTCTGCATATATGTATACAAATCTTACCTATTATATGACAAGCTTTCTAAGGATAGGAACCACATTTTATCTAATTTTGTGGTGTTTGCTTTCTGATATTAAATAGGTACTTAGTGAATGCATAGTAAATGAAAAACAGAATAAACTTATTAAATCTCTTTAGATATAATGATTTTATCTTATATACTAGGATCAAATGTTCCCCTTTAACTCAGCAGAATATTTATATTTAGAAAAGAAGGATGAAATTATGCATAGTACACATAAGTGCATAGGTACAACTCATGTCAAATGAACCTCATTCCTGTATTTTGAAAGGGGTACAAAATTGCTAAATAAAGGGAACCCTGTAAACATAGTATATCTTGATTTCTGTAGGGCAGCTGACAAGATCAAAAAACAAGAGGACTAGGGTTAGAGAAATATAGATGGTTGAAAACTGTATCCAGAAAAAGGCAATTAACACAGCTCTGTCACCTCAGAAAAGGTCCTTAGTGCCAATGTCCAAATACTATATATTTGGCTTGTCCTAGGAATATGCTTATGAATAACTTGGCTGATTATTATAAATCTGCAGGTGACTTAAAACTAGGAAGGAATTTTAATATTGTAGATGATAGGATTAAGATAAAAATAGTTCCATATGCTGAAAATTGTGCCCAAGTGAAACTGATAAAAAAAAAAAAAACAATGATAAATGCAAATTTTAACTTTGAGGGTTAAACAAACTAATCACAGAAATACCACATGTGATAGAACTCACTTAAAAGTTACTTTAAATGAGGTCCAGGGATTTATGTTACAGTGTATACTCATTAACAATAGTATGATGTGGATGCGAAAAAGCTGGTACAAATTCAAACAGCATTAATAGAAGTAGAGTGCCGGATTAAGGAAAGTAAAATGTTTCTAGGTACAGTTATGGGTATAACATTTTAAAAATGATGCTGACACTGGGGCTGCTTATTCAGAAGAAAATCATGGACCTGGAAACCATTTCACAGGACTAATAATTGAAGGAATTAATTAACTTGTAAAAGAGAAAATTTAAGAAGAAACATAGGCGCTGTCTTTACAGGAGCTGGAAGAATAATCAGACTTTTTGTACGCTCTCAACGACAGAACTGGGACTAGAGACTCACAGATTTCCCTACAATATAAAAAAAGAACTTTCAAATTATTAGCAATATTAAAAATAGCAATGAATGCATGTAAGTACACCTAGGCCACCTGCTTAATGTGTCTTAACAATGGCTAGTTCCCCAGGCTAAACATATAATTCTTATTTTCTTTCAATAAAGAAAAAAACCTGTTAACTCATTTATAGATGTTAAAATAATGTTTTGTGGCTATTTTCATCACTTGTGCTCTTAGACTTTTCAGACTAATATAATTACAATTCAAATCTTAGAATAATACAGAATAATGCATTAATACCTTATTACCAAGGTGTTAAAACAGCCCACTTACGAAAGCAAATTCCACTTATCTTAGCTACTGAGAACGCAGCCAGGATCATTTAAGCAGCCAGCACTGTAGTAAGGTCAACACACCCAAATCTGAGTATGGAGTCACCAGGAAAATGTTTCGGGCCCACACTCTGACTTTACACATAATTTTAAAAAGCTTAATGATATGCTTTCCCAATCAATAGTCAATTAGAATTGGCAAATTAGATGGGAGAAAGTTTGAGGACAATAAGGTTCGTAGAATCAACCAAATTTAAACTAGCAAGTAGTAATAACTGACCATGAGAGAGGACAAAGACAGATGACAGAAAGCAGATGTAATAGTTTAAAAAGCAAAACACACTAAGATCATTTACGGTAAGGGCAAAACCTCTTCACATTTCCTGAGGGAATCATTGTCTAATAATTGGTGTTCATACTGATCTTGTGTCACCAAGATAATTTAATTACACTCATTATCCTCAATTTAAGAAGGCAGTAAAATGCATAACATAAGAGATCCAACAAACATGTTAAAAACGTATGGCACTAAATGGAATAATTTTTATTTCTACAGAAAATTGACTAGTGTAGAAGAGTTCATTTGTTGAAGATGCCATATAAATGAGGCATTTTTATATTGTATTATAGTACCAAGAGGAGGAGGCATAGTTTGGAGCACAATAGTTTCAGCAAATGATACATTTTTGCTTCCGAACATTGGTAATTATGTTTGTGGCAAGAAAGGGATATTTTATTAGCTCTGGAAAACTACATTTTTTTGGAGATCCTCAAAAGTGTCCAAAAGCCTATGTTACAGTAATAAGGAAGTGAAATTTTAATTATGGATAGGATAGTATTATTCCATAAATTTTTCATTCTGAATAAAACATGATATATCAAATCAAATTACATGGAAAATAAATTTTCTACATCTTTGCAGGTATCTCTCCCTTTCATACTATTCATCATATATCCATTTATTCTCAGAGATACCACCTTACTGTCAGTTGAGAAGACCTTACATCCCTCTTTACAAAACAAAAAATTTTTGCACATAGGTAAAGCTTTCCTTTTGCCTGTCCATTAGAAACCAGTTCTAATCAGTTTGTGAAACAGTAATGCCCAATAGATGAATAAGTAAATAAAAACTTTACATAGATATGTAGGTGGTGTATGTGTATAATACTGTATAACATATATTTGGATATATCTACATCGTTCTCCAAATTTAAACTATGTACAGTAAGAGTCCGACATATAACATGGCTTAAATACAAGGGAGTTGCTGGCCCTACGTGAAACACTGCAATAGGAGTTTGTTACGATTTGTACTGGAACATTATATTTATCATGAAGAAAACTGTGAAATTTTGGTTGCAGTAAAGAATTGTATGCCAGAAATGATATTTCTGAATACCATTAAAGAGGCAGGAAGATTGAATAAAAAGAACATAGGTTCTAGAGTCAGACTGACTTGGTTTGAATCCCCTTTTAGACACTTAAACCACATGACCATTGGCAGGTTACTTACTCTGAGCCTGGTTTCTTACCTGTAAGATGGGGGAAATTAATTCAGGATTGTTTTGACAATTGAATGAGATAAAGTAAAAACATTTACCACAGTAACTGGTTAATATTAGGCATGTAATAAATATCAGTTACCTTCCATTATCCTAAAAACAGATTTTATTCCAAGTTTGACTTTACCTTCACTTGCAAACTTGCTGATGCCACTCTCCGTTCTAGATCTTCCACCTGTTGAAGGATACTCAAATCCATTTCCATTGCTTGTTCTTCTACTGACCAGTTCTCCACAATATCTCGAGTTACTTGGTTTTCTTCATTTTCATTTAATTCAATAATAGCAACTACATTTGAAAAAAAATTAATTTTAAAATCTATTTTATTAAGTTTTTCCCCTCAGTGATTTTTTCCAGAAAGTAAATAAAATTCCAGTAGTACCATGCACATCTAACTTAACATACACAAATGTACTTGTGCATGTGTAGGTAGCTTACTCTTAAAATAGAAACACTCTAAGAAATACAAAACAATATGTCTGCAGGTATAAAAAATTATAAAAATGTAACACCAATTTAAGAAATATAAATAGTTACTGTTTGTTGAACAAATTAGAAAACAATAGCAATAAATTAAGAAGTAAGATATACGGTCATCCCTCAGTATTCATGGATTGGTTCCAGGAACCCCATGGATACCAAAATCTGTTGATTCTCAAGTCCTTTATATAAAATGGTGTAGTATTTACATACATCCTTCTATGTACTTTAAATCATCTTTAGATTGCTTATAATACCTAATACAATGTAAATGCTACCTAAATAGTTGTTACACTGTATTGTTTAGGGAATAATGGCAAGAAAAAAAATCTTTACATGTTTAGTACAGATGCAACCATCCTTTTTTTTTAAAAGTATGCTCGATCCGTGGTTGGTTGAATCCATGGATGCAGAACACATGAATACGAAGGGCTGACTATACTAAAATATGTTTTAGAATAAGGGAATTAATTCTCATAACTAAGCAAGAGAGCAGAAATCTCTTTTAGATACCTACCATCCTTATTCTTGATGCAGGCTTGAGTAATATAATCCAAGTGTTTCTGAATTTGTTTTTGTAATGCCTTTTCCCTTATTCCTCTGAGATGCAGCACTTTGAGCAAAGCTTTTAGGTCCTCCGGGTCAATAATTCTCCACCAACCAAACTGCATTTCTAAATAAAGGTAAATATGTAAATCTTTTACAAATATTTTGAATAAGAAAGGGCCTAACACAAATCAAAAGATTTATTAACTACATAAAAAACCCATCAAAAATTCAGTTATAATATAGGAATCTATGATAATGAAATAAAGTAAATGGCTAAACCCACCTTAATGTACTTACCTTCTGGAATAGGTTTTGGACTAGGAAAATCTACTGGTTTTGCTACTTCAACAGTTGCAGGTTGAGTTGAAGAGACCTTTTCACTCTGTGGTACTGGAGAATCACTTTTACTTGTGGCAACATTCGAAGTCAAGAATGAATTACCATTTCCTTCTGATAATCCCAACCCTGATCCCAGACTAGGTAAAGGTGACGTAAATGGAATATTGGAAGTAAGCACACCAGTGGGCCACCCACAAAACTGAAGTCCCATCATAGATACTCCACTTTTCATCTACCAAAAAAAAAAACATTTTAAAAGTAGATTAATTTAATAAGTTAAGAAAAATGTTTAGGATCTGAAATTATTTTTCAAATTCTGAAAAAACATTCTTTCACTTATCACAATTAGAGGAAAACTAAGTACACTTGAGACAACAATGTTAAATTCTATGTTCTTATTTGTCCTCCAAAGTAACTTCCCTTTTAGGTATACTGTAACAGTAATACGTTAAAAAGTAATTAAGGAAGACTTAGTCATAGGCACAGCAGTTCCTAACCTTTTTGGCACCAGGGACTGGTTTTATGGAAGACAATTTTTCCACAGATGAGGTGGTGGAGGGTGTAGATGGTTTAGGGATGATTCAAGCACATTACATTTATTGTGCTTTATTTGTATTATTAAAACATTGTAACAGATAATAAAATAATTATATTAATACACCTCACCATAATGCAGAATCTAATGCTGCCACTTATCCGGCAGGAGGCAGAGCTTATGCGGTGATCCCCACCTGCTGCTCACCTCCTGCTGTGTGGCCGGTTCCTAACAGGCCATTGAGTAGTGCAGGTCCACAGCTCGGGGGTTTAGGACCACAGGGCTAGAAATTAGTAGTTCTAATGAAGCTTTGTGACAGAAATTCTGACTTGTTTCACTTTTCAAACTGTGGCAGGGATACTATTCAACTGATCCCCCTTGAGTGAAAATCTTCATGGGGTCAAAGATTACATAAAGCAATATAAAAATGAGTTACAGGCCAGGCGCGGTGGCTCATGCCTGTAATCCTAGCACTTTGGGAGGCTGAGGCGGGCGGATTGTTTGAGCTCAGGAGTTTGAGACCAGCCTGAGCAAGAGCGAGACCCCCGTCTCTCCTAAAATTAGAAAGAAATTAATTGGACAACTAAAAATATATAGAAAAAATTAGCTGGGCATGGTGGCACATGCCTGTAGTCCCAGCTACTCGGGAGGCTGAGGCAGAAGGATCGCTTGAGCCCAGGAGGATGACGCCACGGCACCCTAGCCCGGGCAAAAAAGAGTGAGACTCTGTCTCAAAAAAAAAAAAAAAAAAAATGAGTTACAGTTAGCAGTACTAACCTGAAGAGGTGATAAAGCAAATGGATTTAGGCCAACAGGATTCTGAGCAGAAGATGATCCAAGAAGTGGTGCTGGGGCAGGTGAAGGTGACTTAGATGGTGGCTGAGACTGAGGAGTTACTAAAGAAGCAGTTGACATATCGGCATGAGTAAGTGAAGTGTCATCACAAGGTGTTCTTGGCAAAAGGCTAAACCATTGTCTATTCTTTTCAGTCAGTGTTTTTAACAACTGGTCATTGGGGAGAGGACTGTAGAACTTCCCTGGACCACCTGAACCAGTATTAAACAGATTATTCGAGTCTGTCTTTTCCATGCTGCTTTGTGTTGCTGTTGATTGAATGCTGCCCAGTGAATGTTTCCCACTGTTTGGATAAGACAACGTGCACCCATTTGCACTAACATTTGGTTTGGGGGTAATAACATCTGATTCAGGAGGCATCTTGGCTACTTCTAAAAGCTTACTTAATTTAGAAAAAGAGCCAGGTTTCTGAAGAAACAGATTTGTGTTATCTTTCTCTTTAAGATCTTCCTTTTGCTCACAGTGATCTGTATTTGAACAATTTAAAGTGTCCCCAGAAGTCTCAAACATTTCTTCTTTGATCTGCATACTTTCTGCCCTTTTAAGTTTTTCTCTTTCTTTTGCAATTTCTTCTAGCCCTACAAAATCAAAAAGCATTATGAAGATTAGTTATTCCAGATCAAATCAATACTATAATTAAATT